TTTCCTATGTCGTTACCTCCTACACTAAGACACACTACTGGCTTGGTACTCTCCCCTGACAAAACCCTATCTATCCTCTCAGCTACATGCCCTATCCCAGCCCCAGGAAAACACTACCTAGTCCTACGTTTCCTATCTCTTGCACAAAAAGTCCTATCTAAGAACCTCACCACGACCTTACCACTGGGCAGGGTCTGAACAACTGCCCTTTTCTCTCCTGGCACCACACCGTCCTGCCTCTTCTCTTTCTCGCCAGCTTCCTCCAACATTTGGTAGGGGTTACTGCACTCCACACCCTGGTCAGCTTTCCTGAATCTGACCCTAGTCCCCTTGGAGACAGCCACTCTCCACGCTTGCTCCTCCTGACCCTTCTTCGCAGGTGTCCTGCTAGGCAGGACACCTACCTGAAGGAGTTCAGTCCTGAGGGCTTCGTTCTCCCCCTTTAAAACGTCTATCTCTCTCCTCAACTGCTCCAGCTGACTTAACAGAGTGGCCAGGGGGTCGTCTTTCCTCACACACCGTCCCTCTTCCCCCACAACTCAACGATCCACGGCGGCCATTTCCTATGGTCACTAACACGAGCACTTAGGGGCACGTCCTTCTCCAAGCTAGGTCAGGTAGCTGAGGAAAATGACCTCAGTAGCCAAGGCAGGTGAGGACATGATCACCCAGCTCAACTTTTACCCAAGATTGATCAGTTATTGTATGTCATCAGCTTGACACAACATTTATAAGGTTAGTAATAACTAAGTAAAAATGCAAGACAAAATAAAAGAAAAACAAGTTATAACAGAAGACAACCCCCCCAAAAAAGTGAAGACAAACAAAAGTCAAAAGAAAAGTCAAACTAAAGATAATACAAAGCAAAAATCAAGACAAAACAAGTCACATTAAAACACAAAACAAATAATACTAAACTGAGAGACAAGGCAGGTTAGGGTAAAACCCACAGTAGTAACATCTAAACACTGAAAAAAAAGGAAAAATTGATAATAAAAACTATCTTTTCCTCTCAATACGAAAACCAAAGAAAAGATACGAAACAAATAATGCATAAAGTAAAACAAAAAAGTGGAAGAATCTTGTTAAATTCTAGACAAGATTTGTATGAGAAACACAAGAATCTTTCTCGTTTATTTCACCTGATGCTTAAACACCTTAATGCTACAGTATATGGGAATTAGTTAGGTTAGGTTAATTTATGTTGGGTCAAGTTAAGTTTGGTTAGGTTAGGTTAAGTTAAGTTAGATCATATTAAAGTAGGTTAAGTTAAGTTTGGTTTGGTTAGGGTAAGTTAGATTGTATTAAAATAGGTTAGGTTATGTTAGGTTAGGTTAGGTGCCACAACCTAGTATCTCGGCCAAACTTACCCTAAAAGACACAGTGCCCGTAGACTTCAGTTAAAATTGCATGACCTACTATTTAAGTGTTGACATAATACTCAGTTCAGGCTGACATATACATTCCTGGGCGAGAGGACAAAAGTTTTTTCTACCTAGGCAAATCTTCCTTATTTACATATATTTACAGATAAAAGGTACAAGACGTAATATAAATGCACTTCCTACATAATTGGGAAGTTATCATAAGCACCACTGACTCCCAACTAAAATTCCCTATAAAAAGATACACAAACCTTATAGTCCAGCAGTAAGACCCCCTAAAAAGACCTTAGTTTTAGAGTAGGTTGGGTCAACAGGGTAACATTAGTCTGTATAGCTAAAACTAAGCCTTGGGATGTGGAGATCATGTGATGCCATTGTCAAAAATGCGTGAGAGTTGCATACGGCACCGTTTTCCTAAATGGCCGACGTTCCATCGTAAGTCAGCATCTCTGGAACTATGTGACTTAAGGTGATGATCATGGTGTCAAACTCTATATTATTGGGTCCAGGAATCTGATAAAGATAAATTCAGATCAATTAGACAAATACTAACTCAGTTTTTATGTAATGCTGAAAAAAATCACCAGTGTTTATGCACAAACCCTTTATGATTTTGTTTTGATAAAATAAGTAGAATTTCACGTCACGTTTATTTTAATGTATGGATCAATATGTACAGTCGTCCTCTGCTGTAGGCCTACTCTACAGCCTATCATGTTTCCCATATGTCAGAGTAAATCGCACTACTGTATTTAGGGCCACTGCTTTTGTGGCTGGAGGTGTCCATAAAATGCTTGTAGGCGAAGGCTTTGACCGAGCACTTTATGTACTGACGTTAGTTGATGAAGTACTGCATGGCAAACTCATCTGTAATTGCAGGGAATGGTGCCAGAAAACTGGAGATAACATTACAGGGAACGTAATGTTGAGGGAGACGGTACCTTGTGTTAAGGGAGACGGTACCTTGTGTAAGGGGAGACAGTACTTGGTGTTAGGGGAGATGGTACCTTGTGTTAGGGGAGACGGTACCTGGTGTTGAGGGAGATGGTACCTTGTGTTGAGGTAGTCGGTACCTTGTGTTGAGGGAGACGAGGAAGACGGTGTTGAGGAGATGATACCTTGTGTTGAGTAGACCCTTGTGTACCTGGTGTGAGGGAGATGGTAGAGTGTAGTCAGGTACCTCTTGTACCTGGTGTTGAGGGAGATGGTACAAGGGGACCTCGTGTTGAGGCTTAGAGATGGTACCTTGTGTTGGGGAGATACCTTGTGTTGAGGAGATGGTACCTTGTGTTGAAGGAGACGGTACTTGTTGAGGGAGACGGTTGTGTTGGGGAGACGGTACCTTGTGTTGAGGGAGTACGTGTTGAGGAGATGGTACCTTGTGTTGGGGAGACGGTACCTTGTGTTGAGGGAGACGGTTGTGTTGAGGAGACTGTACCTGGGGGAGACAGTACCTTGTGTTGAGTGAGACGGTACCTTGTGTTGAGGTAGACGTACCTTGTGTTGGGGGACGGTACCTGGTGTTGAGGAGATGGTACCTTGTGTTGAGGGAGACGGTACCTTGTGTTGGGGAGACGTACCTGGTGTTGAGGAGATGGTACCTTGTGTTGAGGGAGACGGTACCTGGTGTTGAGGGAGATGGTACCTTGTGTTGAGAGGTACAGATACCTTGTGTAGACCTTGTGTTGAGAGATGGTACCTTGTGTTGAGGGAGACGGTACCTTGTGTTGAGGGAGACGGTACCTTGTGTTGAGGAGACGACCTTGTGTTGAGACGGTACCTTGTGTTGAGGGAGACCGGGAGATGGTACCTTGTGTTGAGGAGACGGTAGTGTTATGGTTGAGAGAGAGGAGATGGTACCTTGTGTTGAGGACACCTTGTGTTGAGGAGACTTACCTTATGTTGGGAGACGGTACCTTGTGGAGGAGACGGTACCTTGTGTTGAGGTAGACGGTACCTTGTGTTGGGGGACGGTACCTGGTGTTGAGGGAGATGGTACCTTGTGTTGAGGGGTACCTCTTGTTAGAGTATACCTTGTGTTGGAGGAGACGTACCTTGTGTTGACCTTGTGTTGAGGGATGGTACCTTGTGTTGAGGAGACTTGTGTTGAGGAGACTGTACATGGAGACGGTACCTTGTGTTGAGGGAGACAGTACCTTGTGTTGGGAGTAGACTACCTCTTGTTGAGTGAGACGGTACCTTGTGTTGGGGTAGACGGTACCTTGTGTTGGGGAGACGGTACCTGGTGTTGGGAGAGACTACCTTGTGTTGGGGGAGACGTACCTTGTGTTGAGGGAGATGTACCTTGTCTTGAGGAGGACTTTTGTGTTAGGGAGACCGTACCTTGTGTTGAGGGAGAACGGTACCTTGTGTTGAGGGAGATGGTACCTTGTGTTGAGGAGACGGTACATTGTGTTGAATGGACATGGTACCTTGTGTTGAGGGAGACGGTACCTTGTGTTCAGGAGATGGTACCTTGTGTTCAGGGAACGGTACCTTGTGTTAAGGAGACGGTACCTTCTGTTGAAGGAGACGGTACCTTGTGTTGACGGAGACGTGCCTTGTCTTCAGGAGACGGCACCTAGTGTTGGGGAGACGTACCTTGTGTTGGGGACAGTTTGGGGAGACGGTACCTTGTGTTGGGGAGACGGTAGTGTTGAGGAGACGTACCTTGTGTTGAGACGGAGACCTGTAGGAGACTTTGTGTTGAGGGAGACGTACCTTGTGTTGAGGAGACGGTACCTTGTGTTGACGGACATACCTTGGGAGGTACCTTGTGTTGAGGAGACAGTACCTTGTGTTGGGGAGACGGTACCTTGTGTTGAGAGGAGTGTATGTTGAGGAGACAGTACCTTGTGTTGGGGGAGACAGTACTTGTGTTGGGGGAGATGGTACCTTGTGTTGGGAGACGGTACCTTGTGTTGAGAGACTGTACCTTGTGTTGAGGAACATGGTACCTTGTGTTGAGGAGACGGTACCTTGTGTTGAGGGAGATGGTACCTTGTGGAATACCTTGTGTTGAGGGGGATACCTTGTGTTGAGGGTGTTGGGGAGACGGTACTGTGTTGGGAGACGGTACCTTGTGTTGAGGGAGATAGTACCTTGTGTTGAGGGAGACATGGTACCTTGTGTTGAGTACCTTGTTGAGGAGATGGTACCTTGTGTTAAGGGGAGACGACCTTGTCTTGAGGGGTACCTTGTGTTGAGGGAGTACGTTGTGTTGAGGAGATGGTACCTTGTGTTGGGGAGACAGTACCTTGTGTTTGGGAGACAGTACAGTTAGACAGTAGACCCTTGTGTTGCTACCTTGTGTTGAGGGAGACGTGTTGAGGAGACACCTTGTGTTGATGAGGGGAGACGGTACCTTGTTGAGGGACAGAGGGACTATACCTTGTGTTGAGGAGACGTACCTTGTGTTGAGAGACGGTACCTTGTGTTGAGGGAGGAGGGTACCTTGTGTTGAGGGAGACGGTACCTTGTGTTGAGGGAGACGGTACCTTGTGTTGAGGGAGACGGTACCTTTTGTTGAAGGAGACGGTACCTTGTGTTGAGGGAGACGGTAACCTTGTGTTGAGGGAGACGGTACCTTGTGTTGAGGGAGAGAAAGACACTCGGAACTCTTAACATTTATTATCAACAACAATATGTAGAGAACAGGTGAAGATGGCGGGACAGTGACCATCAGACACTGCTCTATTAGAGTGTGACCACCCTTTGAGGACGACAGTCTAACCATCATCCTACAGGTGTGTAAATCATCATCCTACAGGTGTGTAAATCATCTTCCTACAGGTGTGTAAATCATCTTCCTACAGGTGTGTAAACCATCTTCCTGCAGGTGTGTAAACAATCTTTTTAAAGGTGTGTAAACCATCATCATGCAGGTGTGTAAATCATCATCTTACATGTGTGTAAACCATCATCCTGCAGGTGTGTAAATCATCATCCTACAGGTGTGTATACCATCATCCCAAAGGTGTATAATCCATCATCCTACAGGTGTGTAAATCATCTTCCTACAGGTGTGTAAACCATCATCCTACAGGTGTGTAAACAATCTTTTTAAAGGTGTGTAAACCATCATCATGCAGGTGTGTAAACCATCATCCTACAGGTGTGTAAACCATCATCCTACAGGTGTGTAAACCATCATCCTAAAAGAGTTTTAAACCATGGATGATATCAAGACATCGTCCTCAAAGGGTTAAATCATCATACTTCAGGTGTTTAAGCCATTCACCTGTTAACACATCTTCCTCAAAGGGTTAAAGCTCTGGACACAGTAGTTAACACACCTGACTTACGAGTGAACATCTTGTACACTCAATTATTGTACAGTACATCATGGAACATCTGTCGACGCACTCTACCAAGCCAGTGAGTGTGTGAAGGCTGAGTGAGTCGAGGTGAACAGCAGTTTCATTATATTTTTTGCTGCATATGATGTTTTTGTTTTATTTGTAGGAAAAGCAATATTTTATGTAGATTACTTTACATATAGTTGAGATACCGATCTTAACCCATGATATTAGTAATGTATTTATTTATTTATTTATTTATTTATTTATTTATTATTTATTTATAGACAATGGAAGGCATATCTTTGCTCGAGTAGTTATGACGTCACTTATAGTGCCACCATGGACACTATACAGGTGATGTTTGTACACTACACCACCATCCTCCCAACACCACCGTCCTCCCCCGTCATCTTTCTTCACTGTTTCTGTTAGATATGATGGCAGTTTGTGTGTGTTGTTGTTGTTCTCCTGCTTCAGCAGTGGTGGTGGTGGGTCATGACGCGTGGGTGGAGACCATATCACAGGTGTGGGCGCGTGGCAACACCTGTATCAAACCAAAGTTAATTAGTATATTTTAATTCCACGATACATAATATAATAATAATAAATGAAGGTATAATTTGACTTGGTTTTGTGAGCTACAGTGAGAGGAGAGGGAAGTGAACACGTGGTTGAAGGGGTGAACATGAGGTACACGGTACTCGGAAAAAATGGCACAGGAAAAAATTGCACAATTTTCATACAAGCAAAAATTGGCACAACAAATTTCACTTCGAGTTCATGAACCACAAACTTGCTCGTTAGCTCGTTAGCTCGAGACCAATTCACTGAGCCGGCAATGATAATTATTGAAGCCTCTACATACTCGAAAGCTTACAAAACTGTCAAATATATTCCTAAAGTAGTTGTCATTGCAAGTCTTTGAATAACTACAGAATGATTAGAACTAGTAAAAGCCTATGGGCTCATGTTATTGTGACTCTGGAAGATAAATGGATTGTCGATCTCAGTAATGGAATTTGGAATGGGTTGAAGGATTAAATGCCGGCAGAGAGTTATCATATTCCGATTTCAATAGTATGGGTCAGCCTAGTGTGGATGAATACTCAAAAGAAAGAAAAGGAAAACTCCTGACACAATAAAAAGAATAATTTCCCCCAAAAGGCTTTTAATCACTACTTGGGTATGAACCCCTTGGTATATTCGTTCTCGTGTGGCATGTCATCCTTACTGAATTGTTGTTAAGACTATCGCTAAGAATCTCAGAAGAAGATCCATGGTAAATTGGTGGAATTATTCTACAAGGCCGGTCGCAAGTATTATAGTTCTCACAGATCCTGTTAGAGGTCAGGGTCTTATATCAACTAGGTGGTATGAGTGGTATCCAAGCGATGATGACATTAGTTAACTTCTCTGGTGTACAAAGTTCTTAATAAGAGATGACCAGCAATCATGTTACCTGCCAGGCGAACAGCTAGACTTCCGGGTCGAGTAATACGAGGTATAGACACGTGGTTGAGGGATGCAATCACGAGGTAGACACGGTTAGAGACACGTGGTTGAGGGATGCAATCACGAGGTAGACACAGGTAGAGACACGTGGTTGAGGGATGCAATCACGAGGTAGAGACGTGGTTGTGGGAGGAAGACCTTACAGTGGGTAAAGTGTACAAACTGATTTAAGTGGGATTACCCAGATTTAGTTTACACTGATACAATTCTTACGGTTCCGTGCAGTGTATCGCGAAGCTTTTCTGACTCACACTAACACAGCCTGACTCTCACACTAACACAGCCTGACTCTCACACTAACACAACCTGACTCTCACACTAACACAACCTGACTCTCACACTAACACAACCTGACTCTCACACTAACACAGCCTGACTCTCACACTAACACAGCCTGACTCTCACACTAACACAGCCTGACTCTCACACTAACACAGCCTGACTCTCACACTAACACAGCCTGACTCTCACACTAACACAACCTGACTCTCACACTAACACAGCCTGACTCTCACACTAACACAGCCAGACTCTCACACTAACACAGCCTGACTCTCACACTAACACAACCTCACTCTCACACTAACACAACCACACTCTCACACTAACACAACCTCACTCTCACACTAACACAACCTCACTCTCACACTAACACAACCTCACTCTCACACTAACACAACCCTCACTCTAACCACACTCTCACTCACACTAACACAACCTCACTCTACACACTCACTCACTCACAACCTCACTTCACACAACACAACCTCACACTCCCTCAAGTGGTGGCCACCATCCCAACACACACACTCTCCACCATCACCAACACACACACTCTCAAGTGTGGTGGCCGCCATCACCAACACACACACTCTCCCCAAGTGTGGTGCTCACGCCATCACCAACACACACACTCTCCGCGTGGTGGCCACTCATCACCAACACACACACTCTCCCTCAAGTGTGGTGGCCACCATCACCAACACACACACTCTCCCTCAAGTGTGGTGGCCACCATCACCAACACACACACACATTCTCCCTCAAGTGTGGGGGCCACCATCACCAACACACACACTCTCCCTCAAGTGTGGTGGCCGCCATCACCAACACACACACACTCTCCCTCAAGTGTGGGGGCCGCCATCACCAATACACACACACTCTCCCTCAAGTGTGGTGGCCACCATCACCAACACACACACTCTCCCTCAAGCGTGGTGGCCACCATCACCAACACACACACTCTCCCTCAAGCGTGGTGGCCGCCATCACCAACACACACACACTCTCCCTCAAGTGTGGTGGCCACCATCACCAACACACACACACTCTCCCTCAAGTGTGGTGGCCACCATCACCAACACACAATCCCTGGCTCACAGCTCTCCAGTAATCCTAGGATGCCGCACGTGCCTGCGGCTCCGGTAATCCTAGGATGCCGCACTTGCCTGCGGCTTCAGTAATCGTAGGATGCCGCACTTGTCTTGCGGCTCAAGATGCTCACGTGAAGTATGAGTGAACAAAGTCTTGACAATACAGAACACACAGGTTGGTGCCCATTACTGGACATGTTTGTGTCACGGGTCGGTGCTGGTCGACGCCCGCCACTGCTCGTAAAGTGCGTCCCATAGGCGTGACGGTCCGTTTAGGGCAGTTTACATACAACACACTGTATACTAAGTATTCGGCACGCAAAGTGGCAGCTTGACGGACACTGTTACTCGACCACCTTTACTTCCCCAACAGTAAATTTAGTCGCCCATTTACAGTTTAGTGCCCTTGATGCCCTGGGGTGTTCTGAGATGGAACCAGCGACAGGAGGCGAGAGTTGTTGCATAGTCTTCATGGACGAGAAATATACATCACAATTATAATCTCTCATAACCTGACCCCGAGTCCTTGTCCTTAATGATCTCTCTATCACGGTCTCCTGACTGGTCAATGTTCTGTGGTGTTATTTAACTTTAAGTAACATCAACACTGTTCCATTGGCCTTAGGTTAGGTTAGGTGAACTATTGCGAGCTTGGGGGGCGAATATCCAGGTATTCCTTCCTTTCAGGTGTCGACATATCATGTTAAAACAGGATTTATACTATAAAGTCTTCTAGGGTGTAGACAAAGTTGGTGACCAGGTTATGAATGTCACAGAGCGAGGTGCTGACCCTTGTGTGAACCCGTGGTCTTCACCTTCACCTGACCATTATACCACCTAACCTGGGTAAGGACACTATCTAGTTAGCCAGCCAATAATTATGCCATACGTCGTTTTGGGGTGTCTCTGTCTGTGCTTGTGTCTGCCTGTCTCTCTGTTTCTATCTGTGTCTGTGTCTGTCTCTATCTGTGTGTCAATGTGAGGAGGCAGAGATTGTTAGCGCGGGAAGACAAGTACCAGCAAGGGATAAAAACACAAGCACGCAAGGTCGTCCCGTAGTGCAGGGAGGCCAGTGCCGCCTCGTAGGTAGTCTCTGCCAACCCTCTATAAATACTCCGGTCCCAGTCTCTCAGGCCCAGATCGTATGCTGGTATTTGAGCTGTGACTGTATTTTGAACACACTGTAACAGCGACGGCAACACACTCTAACATTAGCTGTAAACACTCTATCTACGGCTGTAAACACACTTAATCGAGGCTGCAAACACGCTGTAACACCTACGATAAACACACTCTAACTATGACGGTAAACACAGAGTAACAGTGGGTCACGGGAAGGATTGTGACGGGAGGGATACTTGAGATCCCTGGAAGAAAAATGAACAGCTTTGTACCAAGAAGGTGAGGAATGTTGAACCTCACTTCCTACTTCCGTGACATGTATCCACAACTTAACTTAACCTAACCTAACCTAACCTAACCTAACCTAACCTAACCTAACCAAGTAATAGAATCATTTGAGGTTCTGCCAGAAAGAGGGACGTATATTCAAATTGGATTCTTTCAAATCTTGTGGCCAAATAAATAAATGTTGGCAGGGTGACGGCAACTACAGCAGGGTGACGACAACTACAGCAGGGTGACGGCAACTACAGCAGGGTGACGGCAACTACATCAGGGTGGCGGCAACTACATCAGGGTGACGACAACTACAGCAGGGTGACGGCAACTACATCAGGGTGACGACAACTGGGTGACCAGGTGACGGGCAACTGGCAGCAGGGTGATGCAAACAGCAGGTGACGGCAACGCCAGCAGGTGACGCACCACAGCAGGGCACACAACTACAGGCACGACAACCAGCAGGGTGACGCAACTGGCTACAGCAGTGACCAGACAACGTTGCAGGGTGGCAACAACCACAGCACGGTGATGACAACTACAGCAGAGTGAATGTAACCAGAGGGTGACGGCAACTACAGCAGGGTGACGCAACCGCGCGGTATTATGCAACTGCGCAGGGTGACGGCAAACGGCAAGGGGCGGCGGTGAAACCGCTACACAGTGAATGCAACCGCAAATGGGTGACGGCAAACCACAGCAGGATGCGATGGTAACTGGCAGGGTGACGGCAACTGCCAGCAGCAGGGTAACTGCTGGGCACAGAATGCACCAGCCGAGTGACGGCAAAACTGGCAGCAGGGTGACGGCAATCATGGGCAGGTGACGACAACTACAGCAGGGTGATGGCAACTACAGCAGGGTGGTGGTAACTTCAGCAGAATGATGACAACTACAGCAGGGTGATGGCAACTGCAGCAGAATGATGACAACTACAGCAGGGTGATAGGCACTGCAGCAGAATGATGACAACTACAGCAGGGTGATAGAAACTACAGCAGAATGATGACAACTACAGCAGGGTGATGCTAACTACAGTAGGGTGATGGTAACTACAGCAGGGTGGTGGTAACTATAGTAGAATAATGAAAACTACAGCAGGGTAATGGTAACTACAGCAGAATGATGACAACTACAGCAGGGTGATGGCAACTGCAGCAGAATGATGACAACTACAGCAGGGTGATAGAAACTACAGCAGAATGATGACAACTACAGCATGGTGATGCTAACTACAGTAGGGTGATGGTAACTA